CGGCCGTGTCCGAATGCAGGTCAACTAGGGAATGGGAAGGAATGTGTTGACGTGGTACTCGCTGTGAAGGAAACCGAGAAATCCTCTGCGCTTCCACGAGAAATCACTGGGATGTTGGATGTGGGGAAAGGTTGCACCGCACACGCAGGGATCGTTTTTTGGTAGAGCGATTATAATACACAAACACACACACACACACACACACGCGCGCGCACTCATCCAATTTCTATTTTTAGATCAGGACCCACACTGTGGTAAGTGATGCGATCGGTGTTAAAGAAGAATTTGTTTTCATTAAAATCTAGTGGGTATAGAATAAGGCAAAGTGAAAAATTGCAAGGAAGGGGACGGGCCTGGGATTGAACTCCCGACCTTCTGCTCAGTAAGCAGAAACGGTAACCACTGAGCTACCGAGCTTCCACTAACTGCAGAAAAGATAAGAACATTGAAATATTTAAGGGTAATTTCTGAAAACTACAGGGTAAGAACCTTTCGAGAACAAAGATGTAGAGCAGAGAACAATGAGACAGTTCTGTTAACTTCAAGAAACTTTGAAAAGTTCCGAAATCTTCAAGAATTTAAGGACCGTTCATTTAACTTCAGAAAACAAAAACCTTACAGATTTATCAAGAACAAAGTCCAGACAACTTCATAGAAGTCCCATGAACGTCAGAAAAAAAATGAAGGAACCTTCAGGAATGCGAATTTATTGGAATTTCTTAGAATTTAATGGAAGTATCGAAAACTTGAGGGTGATTCCGAATTGAAGAACTTTCTAAACTACGGGCAAGTTTTCTTTCAGATAAGTTCCAATAACTACAAAGATGAATCGCTAAAAAGCTTGGAATTGCAAATACAACTGTGCCTCTTGCCATTAATAAAGAAGCACAAAGGATCAACTCTGTTTTGGCCTGATCTAGCATCCTGCTATTACGCTCGAAACGTGTTGGAGTGGTACCGAACCAACGGAGTGAATTTTGTGCCAAAAGATATGAACCCACCAAATTTACCGGAACTTCGACCAATTGAAAAGTTCTGGGCAATCATGAAGACGGAATTTCACAAACATCCCAATACTATTAAAACAGAGCTGGAGTTGAAGAAAGTTTGGGTAAAAACAACAAATACACTGGGAAAATCGGTTGTATAAAATTCGATGGGTGGAATGAAAAGGAAGGTGCGGGCATTTGGGACGGGAGATGAAATTGAATTAAACGAATTTTGTAAATTATAACTCATCAGTAGTTTTTCATTCCCTCAAAATTTCAAGGAAATCCGATAATCGGTTTAATTTTGGTGAGTAAATATGTGTGCGCCATTTTTATCGAACACACCCATTAATTTCAGTTCAATTTCAGAAACGTCATCAGTGAGAACCGCAGGAAAGATTAGAGATCTTCAAAGGGGTTCACAACATTGTAGGACAAATTTCGAGGAATTCATGAACAGACGGTGTAATACGGGAACTTCTTTAAAATTTTGGGCGGATCTATCGGCTTTAAAGAAATTGCAGTAACTTTAAAGGAGTTTTATGACTTCAGGGATATACAGAAAACATCAGAAGCGGTTGAACAAGCATCGCAGTAATAAACATTTATTTTTAGGCGATTGATCTTTATTCGTAAATGATAACTTTAATTCACATTGCAGCCTTGTGAAATAATGCGATAAAGTTATCATACACGAATAAAGATTATCTCCTAAACATAAATTTTCATGACTGGGATGCTTGGTCAACCGTTTTTGAAGTTTTCTGGATATCCCTGAAGTCATAAAACACCTTATAAGTTACTGCAATTTCCTCGAAGCTGATGGATCCGCCTTAAAGTTGAAGCTGATATGCCCAAAATTTTACAGAAGTTCCCAGATTATCCCACAGTCTGTTCATCAAACTTCCCCGGTATCTTCGGTATTTTCTATTATAAAAATAAATTTGCCTAGATTAAACGATAGCAAGCTGACCGATATTGAGATGCTTGCAGTTTGCTTAACACATCGTTATCAATCATAGAGAAGTCCCAGATACTGCTTGAACCGATTACTTGACTCTTTACCTTGATTACTTGGAAGATTTTACGAAAAGTTGGATGATTTTCTTAGCCTGGAAATTTCCTGAAAAGCCGACTCAGGAAAATTTCAGGACATATCAGGGAATTTATTTGACTTCACTGAACCGACACTCTGTTTTTATGGTTACCCTATTTGCTTTCCCTTCGCCCGGGAAAATAAATTTTCCCTCATATATCTTTTCGGGGTGACAAAAAAAGAAAAGAAAAAGGAAAACACCAAACCAACTCGACCACACGAAACATATGGTTTGAACTGCAGCCAACGGAAAAACCATAACGTCCGGGCGGTCGTTCGGCGAAAGTTGAAAACTCTCCTTCTTCTCCGTAGTGCCGTGACCACAGAATGAGATAGTTTCCAAAGAAATAAAATAGCAATAAAACCAGTCTGATTAGCCCATTCTTATACGCCAAGTGCCCCGGGCATCTTCTGTAGCGGTGCTGGTGGTGGTGGTGGCGACTATAACCCTTTTGATGATGCTTAGCTCTAGCCTCCGCGCTCTGGTTCTGCTGCGGGTGGTAGAGTCGTAAAAATCTTCAAGTCGACACATTTAAAACAAATTCACAGCAAATATCGGACGTCGTAAAGCCATGCAACACATATGGCGATGCATGCAACGGAGAAGGGGTCATTCCGACTGTGGCGACGGCAGCAGCGGAAACGGAAAATGTGCTTCCGCCTTTCTACTGTTGTAGTAGCGCAACATCCGACCATTTATGCTTATGGACGGGCGACTCTGTGTGTCCTGCATTTGCATAAATGCCCAGGTTAAGCTTATTCACAAATATTCATACCACACTGCTCCGGATGGGACAGCTCCCAGTAACAAAAGTCAGCCAACCACCCACTTCATCACGGTGAAGACTTCGTGTCCAGCTGAAGAAGCAGCATCACCATTGAAAACACGACGATATTCTGGTGGATCGTGACGTTCTGAATAGCCACTCGGTAACAATGAGGTTAGCCAAACCGACCGACCGACCGACTCTCTCTCTCCTTCTTATGGGACTGCAACAAAAGGTGCTGCTTCAATTTTTTTTTCGGGACGGGCAAGCTTCTCAACGGGGACGGGGAAAACGTCATAATCGTTGGTTTCCTCTCCACATCACACATCTCCCTAACCATCGTCATCACGCTAGCCCGAGAAATGACACGACACAATGGACCCTGACCGGGAGGACACGGTGGATTTTCCAAATCACCAAATATTATTTATAAACTCCCGGGATTCACCGCTGCCGTTGCTGCCGCAACGTTAGTTTTCTGCTGGCTTTCACGCTGAAGAGGGTATTAACACCAATTTGCGCAATGGGGGAGAACTAACTCCCTGTCGTCGGGGTCGTCGTCGTCGTCGTCAAGGAAAGAACGGGGAGAGGGAGCAGAGGAACAAAGCATTCAAAAGAGATGAATGCAACCCGAAAACTGCACCGCTGACTGCGGGGATTGACGGACATCTGTGTGTTAAAGGGTTAAGCGGACAGGCCTTTTTCCCCGAGCGATATGGCATTCAGTTGCGAGAGCATTAAGTCACCAGCAGAGGTGGCAACAGTACACTTTTTGAAAAACCATCGTCCAGAGCGAAACAAAACAGCCAGCACACGGGCGGCCGTTTATAACTACATTCCAAGCGAACAGCGGAGATAGAGAATAAATAAAATCTCGCAGCCTGATTTTTCCAAACAGTTTATTGTAATGAAATTTTAGCTGCAGGTTTGCATGTGACAGTAAATTACCAACTCCCTTATTTACGCATAATTTTAACATCAATGCTTATGAGTGGTCAGTCTTCATTCTTATCTTTTAATTCCATGCAATAAACATCAAATAAATGCAGTAATTAGCCAGAAATCAGCAAAATTCTACACGACATAAATTTGTGTCGCGCGTGCCGCCGGTCTTGTCTGCTTCTTTGTGCGAAAATGTTCTGTAGCTGGCAGAAAACAGTTTAGAAATGTCATGACATTTTTCCGCTTGCCAGTTTGTTTTTGTGTGTCGTCACAATGGTTATCGCAAAAAGTATCAAATGTTACGGAAAAAATGTTAAACTCCAGGACTCGTGCCACCACTGGTCACCAGAATAAAAGACCGGACTACAATGAGTGTTAGAGGTTCTTTCGGATTTAATCTCTTCATTTCAATTTCGACAGAATTTACTGTTATGGACTGGTAAAGGTGATTTTAGTAATTTCAACTGCCATGAATGGCATATTGCGTCCACCACTGTACTGCCAGTGGACACATAACTGTCCCATGTTGCAAGACACAAACACGCACTGGAACAATTCAAAATCAATGTATGCAATTAAAAAAAAAAAGTTTTACAAATTTAGCTTTGCAAATCATAAGGTTCTCTTTATCAATTTTGCTTGTTGAATTGTTCGCCTCCGACAAGTATGCGGCAGTTATTCATGGGGAACAAATCGACTTGACATTTTTTTCCTATGTTTTCTAGAATAAACAGCCCGAAAGTACAATTATGGCGTTAAACATTAAAAACTCAAAATTGTCGAAAAATCACATTGGACAGTTATGCGTTCACCGGCAGTAGCCGCCCAGTGCAAAATGTAAAGAGTAGTCACGCAGAGTGATAACCATCATCAGATATGGGACATCGGAATCAAAACGGACAACGAAGCAGCAGCACTTCAGTATGAATAATTAATTAGCAGTAATTGATATTTTTATTCATTCTGCCAGCAATCTCGCACAATTGACGGGCGAGTGGACATTCAGTGCGCTGCAAAAATCTATTCACTTTCAACCCTTCCTCGTCAACAAAAAAAAACAGGGCACATTTTTTGCACATCTGCGTTACACTGACTGGTGGTCAAAACATGTAAACACACTATTTCAAAAGAGCCAGGGCATTTAATCGTTTCAGCTGGACATCATCGCAAAAGGGGAATGAATGCAATTTAAATGAGTGCACTTACCGCTGCTGGTAGTGTTAGACTCGGCGTCTGCAACCTCGGAGGCGGCGGCGGTGGGGCTGGTACTGCTGCTGGTGGTACGGGGCTTTTTCGAAGCGGGCTCATCTGTCCTCGATGATGCCTGCCGGTCTTCGTCGTCGTCGTCTTCATTGCTGTGGACCACGTCGGATTCCGGTTGCTCCTGTTTGATTGCGATGATGTTGACCGGCGCAGGGCCGGTGGTCAGTTTGTTGCTTTGTGGCTGCTCCTCACCATCTTCGGCGCCACTGCTACTGGCGGTACCGAGCAGCGGGCTGGTGCTCGATGGACACCGGGAGGTGGAGGCGATTTCTGATTCTGATGGGTTTTATGAAGGGGATGGAAAGAGAAAAAAAAACAAGATCGAAGGAAAAGTTAAGCTACTTGTTGAAAGTCATATCTGTTGGTTTAAGAAATAAATTCCAATAATCATAATCCACGCTAAAGGCTTCGAAAATTGTGAGAATCTTCCCGCAGTTCTAGAATACATAAACCAATTAGCCGGACATAGTACCCGTGGTTTCTATTGATAGAAGACGATTAACGTACCGATATATTTGACATCATATCAACTAGGGTAGATGTACCAGTTATGGCTATACGTTAATAATTTGTTCCATTGATGGCCTATGGAATTCCAATAGGCCGTAAGTGGAATAAACCACGAGGCAATTCCATTCCTGCCATTGCCGAACCTTTGTTTCTATCACGATAGCTTGCAGAGATGTTACAGGAATCCCCCGAATAGTGTGTTGGGTGGAGTAGTCCACCACCCACCGGTATTAATCGGCTGTGTTCAAACCGCTCAATTTGTTTGAGGATAGCCGATAAATACCCGTAGGTGGTGGACTACTCCACCCACCACACATTCGGGGGATTCCTGATTATTTTTGTAGATGACTATTATATAATTGATACTAATTACAAAAAAAAATCAGCTCTACTGGTTGGGGAACAGCCGAGAAATAGCGGCTGCTTCACACACCACGCTATTCGAAGGATTCCTGTATGATAATTACAGGGCTGGTAGCGATCAATGTTGTCAAAAATAGTGACTAAAAAGTGACCTAATGGAAGAAAATTAGTCGTTCTTATGGCATAACAAATAAATATTTGATGTTTTTGACTTATTCAATTACATTCTCATAAACACTTAAATATGTACGTACGATTGAAACCTTTAAAGCGAAAGATTTATTAGAAAGTTTATGACCAAACCTCCAAGCTTCTACTACCTGAAAAAAAAAACATGAAAAACCGGGATTTCGCAGGGAATTTTATTTTTCCTGAAAATACCTGGAAGTATCAGGGAATCTTATCATGTCTAAAGAAATTTAACAATGTTCTTACTAAGAATGCATTTTAAAATAAAAAACATTTAATATTTCTTGCTATTTTCATTCACACATTGAACTTTATAGATCCAGAATGGATTGATCTTCAGTAACAAATCCATAAATTTATAAATTCTGAACTGAAAAGTTATATAATACTTCAATTTTTAAGAATCTGGAGTCAAATTCCTTGCATAGTTTTAAGGCTAATGCAATTTTATAAAAATTTCTAATGACCTCATTCCACGGGAGTTCTGGGACAAAAATCTACGAGAAAAACATCAACTGCAATCTGCTTTCATGGTACTTCCGACTTCATGTGAAGCCTCAGCTTAAGATAGTAAACTCCATGCGAATTTTCATGAGAAATCTCCGTTGAATATGGAATGAACTAATCTGGGGTCTTCATAACTACTTGAAAGTTCTTGTGTAGTTTGAAAAACTAACCTGATGCTCGCAATACTTCTTATCATTTCTTTTAACTTCTCTAAACTTTTGTGGACTTCCTAAAGTTTCCACTATTTTTCTAACGATCATGAACCTTCTCTAAAGTGTTAACAATTCACTGAATTCCTCGAAACTATTTTTTTAATTTATTTAATTTCCCTGCTCTGGAATACCTCTGCTCTGAGGATATCCGTTCTTTCTTGAACTTTTTTTTTTATAACTTTATTGGCGAGATCAATACCTTTCTCGAAGTTCTCGAAACTTCTCTAAAATAGTTTGCAGTTCTCATGAAGCTTGTTGTACTACCATAAATTTAATTGAACTGTTATACACTGGAGTCGCTTTTTACGCGGTTTTTTTTACACGGTTTTTTTTACACGGTTTTTTTTACGCGGTTTTTTTACGCGGATTTCGGAATTTACGCGGTTTTTTTACGCGGATTCCGGAATTTACGCGGTTTTTTTTACGCGGATTTTGGTTTTTTTTACGCGGATTTCAGAATTGACGCGGTATATCGTTATACACTAGAGTTGCTTTTTACGCGGTTTTTTTTACACGGTCTTTTTTTACGCGGTTTTTTTTTACGCGGATTTCCGAATTTACGCGGTTTTTTTTTACGCGGATTCCGGAATTTACGCGGTTTTTTTACGCGGGACGTATCACCCGCGTAAAAAGCGACTCCAGTGTACTTATTAGAATTAGTGAAACTAATTGAACTGAACTCCCCTGAAATTCCGTTTGTTTTTGAAGCTTTACTAAACTTATTTGAGATGCTCCCAAAATGTCCATAAAAGTTCCAGAAGTTCTCGGGTCTTCCCTTAAGTTCCATAAACTTTTATGAAGTTCTCGAAATGATTCTGAAGATCTCTGTACTTCTGTGAAATTTTCGAAGTTATTCTGAAATTTCAGGAAACCTTTTAGACTTCCGCTCCGCAGCGAAATAATTAATATAGTTCTATGATTTTCACTGAAGTTCTCAAGATTTGTCTGAAGTTTCCGCTCCGCAGTGAAATAATTAATATAGTTCTATGATTTTCACTGAAGTTCTCAAGATTTGTCTGAAGTTTCCGCTCCGCAGTGAAATAATTAATATAGTTCTATGATTTTCACTGAAGTTCTCAAGATTTGTCTGAAGTTTAAATTATCGATATTAATTCATAACTTCTTCAATAGTCTAGAGTTTCCTGATGTTTTAAAAACTGCCCAAGAATAGTTCTCAATTTCCTTAAAATTCTCTAAACTGCCTTGCCTTAGTATATTTTTAAAAAACTCACCATTATACTGGAATTGATTTAATTGCCTTTAAGTTCTACATATAAACGCTCACGGAACTTTGCCTTAAATCACTAATTTTCCCTGTAAGAAGTTTTCTATGCTTACCTTAATTTCTCTAAATTGATCAAATGTTCTGGTTGAATTTTTTGATACATATTTATAATTCCCTGAAGCTTCTACAGTGTTCGGATCAATCATAGAATTCTCGGAATATCCCATAATTCCAAGGAACTCCTTGTAAGACGCTTCAAATTTCCTTAAGTTGATGGGATTTTTCTGATGTTATCTAATCGTCCTCGAAGAAGTCGGAACTTCACTGAATATAATGAAACAATAAAAAATCTGAAATTTCTTGAAAATATCGGTGCTTACTAAAAGTTCTCGTCTTTTTTTTTTAATTAATGGTACTTCGTTGATGTTCTCTAATCAACTGAGCTAAATTTTCGAATGTTCTATAGATCTTGAAATTTCCATGATATAACACTCTTGGAATACTCTCACATTTTCTGGATGTTCATATAATTTTTATTGCGTGCCAGAAATTTTCTCTGAGCAAACAGAAATTTTGGGATATTCCGGTTTCTGCCATTCTCTTGAAATTTTTTGAACTGCCTTTTAATTCTCTGATCTGTCTTCATGTTCTCGGAGCTTCCCTAAAACTCTCAACTGTAATGAAGATCTCAGTTCTGCTTTTAAATAAATGGAATTCTCGTAAACACCTGGAATTCTCTGGATTACTGTGAAGTTCCTGAAATATTTCTGAAGTTTTCATAAATTTTCTGAAGGTTTCTTTACGGAGTATCTCGGAGCATCTTAAGGCTTCTCGATTTTATTTCAGCACTTCATGGACCTATCCTGAATTTGTCTAAACTCACGCTTATAGATTTTTAAACCAATTCAATAGTCTGGGCTTAAGTTTAGGGGACTTCCTCTTAAGACCTCTGGAATTCCCAAAGATCTCTAGATCTAACTTTTCTGAGATCAATAGAACTTCATTAAAGTTTCCACATTTTGGATAGTACGAAACGTCAAGATATTAAAAATGCTGTGATCTTAGACTTGCTAAGTAAGTAAGTGTTCAACTTCAACATTTAATGGATTTGAGCTAAAGCTGTTTCTTAAAAACTGATTGTCATGTTTTAAAAACGTTTGCGTTAAAACATATTTTTAACGCATTTCATAAATAGCATTCTTATTATAAACCTGGACATTATCCGCCAAAGTTATGGAAAAATCTGGAGAACTCAGGGAACTTTATTTAGCCAAATAAGTGGACACCCTGTAGATAGAGAAGAACGATTAAACGTAAAAAAAAACCCTAAACCAGGTCGTCAACACAAGGCCTATCCAGAAGAATGATAAATCTTGAAATAAATTCACGTTTAAAAAAGTTGGAAATAGTGACTTATTACAAGAAAAAGTGACTTTAGCGACTTGGCCTTAACAAAAGAGACTTTTTAGTGACTGGCTTGAAAAAAGTTACCAAGTCACTAAAAAGTGACTCGCTGCCAGCCCTGTAATTATATTTGGCTATCGATGAAGTGTCTACGTTTATAATCGTTTAAAATCGTAAATAAATCCCGAATAGTGTTTGTGATTAGTTAAGCAGCACTACGAGCCACAGTAACTTACGGAGATGGCTGGTAGTGTGGAAACTGAATTACCATTTTAAATTCCCAGATTTTTAGCAGTTTTCTTGGTGGATAATTAAAAAATTGAGCGGTTTTACAAATCACGTTGTTTGAGAAAACAATTTACTTTTTATGATGAATTTCAATGCTTCTACCAATTTAATCGGACATTTTTTTCAATTTGTCATTCAAATAATATAATAATTGATATTTCTAACCGATGTGGCCAATACAAACTACAACCAAAAATTATCTTATTTAAGTACAATTTTGAACACAACATGATTTTTAGATCAGATAAATTTTAAAGATTGTGAAAACATCTTCTTCTTCTTCGCTCTAAGTGTTCTAGATGTACTTCCACAGCTATTAATTGAGAGCTTTCGATGCCTGTACCATTTTTGAATTAGTATAATTGTGTTGCAAGTACAATCATACTCTATACCCAGAAAGTCGAGAAATGTTTCAACTCGAAAAATTCCAAGACCGGACCGGGAAGCGCAAAAATGGTGTTTTTTGCTGATATGATCGCACTTATTTAAAATAGTTTCAATGTAACAAAATTGATGGAACTTTGGCGAATCTTACTCAGAGAGTGAGTCACAAACGATAAGAAAAAATAACGTTCCAA